ACCTGAGTGGTACATTTCGCATTCTAATTCATTCAGCACCTAATTGTGAGTGGACACCACAGATAGCCGCCCTCTCTCTCCTCATCTCTCCCCAGACTGCAGAGAAGCCCGGCTCAGAAAGGTCAAAATGGCCGACATTAATCAGATCGCCATATCCACAACCCCTTCCCGCCATCGTTACTGTGCTAATCACTCTGGGTTTGGTTGCAGAGAGGTTTACTCCTAATTATTGTCATTAATAAATCAGACGAGTCAGGCTGTCGGGATGAAAGAGAGGCCGTCCCTGCTTGCCATCCATCAGAGAGGCAGAGTGCAGGAGAGTCCAGTCATTAAGAAGCCTTTGAGACACACGGCCACATCAGGGACTCAGACAATAACACGCCTAACTTTTTCATCAACCTGTGGCTTCCGCAACCAACCAGGAGACGACGATTCCGGAAAATCATCAGTCTTGTACAAAGGAGCGAGTTATAATAAGAGAGGAATGATGCAGAAAGCAGGGCGCTGTGGGGTTTCGCGAAAGCAGCTGTCTGTGTACATACGTAGAGACCGTGGCATCCAAAAGTCTGGGAAAATATGGGATTTTTTCCCACTTAAAATTGGAAATAAGTAAAGTTTAAGTATTTGAAACCGTTCAAACAAAGTTATGACGTAACTAATACAAACACTAAACAAATAAGTAAATGGAACCACAGATCATGCTGAATAACATGGGAAAAATTTACATTTGAAATAACTGTTTTCTTAATTTAAAAAAATATATATTCACATACAGCAGAATCACTTTCACTGATAGACTCAGACATTTTGAACCCCTTTAATTCATACTAAATGTTTAAATAAACCTTTTGCTATCTATTAACACTTTAATAGTTTTATTATTGTGAAAAATAACAAAATGTATATGAAATAACATTAAAATAATGTTACGTTCGCTCTAGCTGATATATCATTTGCAAATATCAGAATGGATCCTAATGCATTTGAAATAATTTAAATTTTAAATAATTTGATCACACACACACACACACACTACAGTTCAAAAGTTTGGGGTCACAATATATATATATATATTTTTTTTTTTTTTTTTTTTTAAAGAATTTATTATTTTTGCATTAATGTGATTATATTTCAAAAGTGAGTATATTTCAAACAAATGGTGTTATTTTGATATTTAGACATTACTATTCATTAAACAATCCTAAAAAATTATATATTTCCACAAAACATTAAACTGTTTTCAACATTGATGATAAGACATGTTTCTTGAGAACCAAAACAGCATATTTGAATGATTTCTGAAGGATCATGTATATTTGCATTTATTTATATATTAAATAAATGTAAAATTAGAATCTAGAAAGATCTTTGCAAATTATGATGGTGTAGATACGCATTTTATTTACAGATGCCATCTAAATACTTCACATTCAACTGCCTTAACATCTTTTCACTCAAAAGCCAGCAACCATCAAAACAAAAAAAGTGTGCTCGTTTCAAAACACATGCAGACACACACGCTCAGCCAGTTACCATGCGTGTTGAGGACACCAGCTAAAGCTTGGTGTGTATCTGTGTATGTGTGTGTGCTTGCCATGCCGCAGGGAGAGAGAGATGGAGAGAGACGTGGCATCGCGCTGCCATCACATCTCATCAAATTAAGGAAGTCCATTCCACTTAAACGAGTTCTGTGAATCTAAAATCGACCATTAATGCAGTGTCATGTTAAATTAATACTGTCATCTAAATTACTGGTATGAATCTTTCACATTTGAAATGAGACCAAGAATGACTTATTCATTCTCTGCTATCTCCTCTGATGTCATCCCCATTAAACATAACCAGGCGAGCTGTCTTGGCCTAATTGTATTAGAGTGTTAGGGGAGTGTTAGGCTGTTCAGAAATCATCATTTAGTATGCTGATCAACGGCTTTAGCGAACTGAATAATCTCTGAAATGAGTCGTGCTACGAGGCATGCTGTAACTGACAACACAAGAGAGAAAGACATCAAGGAGATATGAATGCTGGACAGTAAGACCATATAAATTTGATACAGCGTAAAGATGGAGTTCAACAGTGAGGCGACTTACGTAAGTGCCTACCATGTGTCGTGCCAATCTGACATCAGCATGAAAGGAGCGTGCGACCTGGTGCCTGTGAGGTAAACACGGACACATGCCCTGGCTTCTCTCCAGCAGCAAGACCAGTCTTTATAGGCTGGAAATGTTTGACTTCACTGAAAGGAAAAGAGCAAACACTGCTGAAAACTTAAAAATTAAGATTTTTTTTATTCATGTGTAAGAGAGACAAGCTAATGTAATCTGGTAATGAGCCAGACCTCATAAAACTAGTGGAGCTCAACTCCCTCCTTCAGTTTTATGGAGGCTGGCTGCAGGTGAGACTGATCCTGATTTACTGTCTGTTCTGTACTGCACATCTCATGTTTGATAGACAAAAGTACGCTGGAGTGTGTGTCTACATGTTTGAGGTTTGAAAACGGGAAATACAATTAAACTAGTTTACGTTATCTTTCCATTTTGGTAAACAACATTATATATTAAATAAATGTAAAACCACCAGACAAGTTTGTCCATTTGGATTCATCTACCTCGCCTGGCTGTAGTTGCACACTCCTGGGGCTATAACAGAGGAGTTACGGGATAAATGTGACCTACCGCACATAGAGGGCAGAACTACCAGTGTGCTGTCAGTCCACCTGTGAGCATCAGACATTAGCGCACACATAAATATGCACTTTCACCGCATCACACCCTTTGAATGCTATTAAAAATACACCATTGTGAAAAGAAGGATGAGTAAAGGATGTCAACTATTTAAAAGTGTTTCGATAGGTTTCTTAGATGTGTATAAGTTTAAATATTCTAAATTTTAAAAACTTCTTAATGCTTGATCAAATATACAGTAAAACAGTAATATTGTGAAATATTATTACAATTTAAAATAAATCTTTTGTAGCATTATAAATGTCTCTGCTGTCACTTTTAATGAATTTAATGCAACCTTGCTGGATAAAAATAGGAATTAAAAAAAAAAACTTACTGACCCCAAACATTTGAGTGTGTGTGTGTGTGTGTGTATATATATATATATATATACAGTGCTCAGTGTAAATTAGTACACCCCCTTTGACACAAAAACAATTTCCAAAATGTTGACAAGACTAAGTTTTATATATCATCAGTTTAACTTATAAGATGAAAGTAAGGTTAATAATATAACTTGGAGAACAAAATTTTCAGTTTTACTCAAATTAGGGTGATGCAAAAATGATTACACCCCACTGAAAGTCTCTGGAGCAAAGCTAAATTTTAGACTACAAATGTCTAATTTAACAAGAATTCAACCACAGGTGAGTCTAATTATTCATTACACAGGTGTCCAGACAGTTGACTATAAAAGGGTGTTACTTAAAAAAAAAAACTTTCCATTTCATGCTGTCAGCAATGGCACCACATGGAAGTGAAATGTCACGAGACCTGAGAAAGAAAAGACTTTCTTTACACAAGAAAGGTGAAGGCTACAAGAAGATCAGCAAAGCTTTACTTATCAGTCAGAATACTGTAGCAAAAGTGGTACAAACATTTTAAAAAGATGGAACTGCAACCATCTCACAGAGACGTCCAGGTCGTCCACGGAAGTTAAAACCTCGACAGGAGCGTCTTCTGATGAGAAGGGTTGAAGAAAATCGGCATGCAAGTTCACTGCAGTTATCTAAAGAAGTAGAAAGCCAAACTGGGGTGACTATTTCCCGTGACACAATACGGCGTACAATGCAGAGGAATGGCATGCATGGGTGCCATCCACAAAAGAATCCTCTCCTAAAGCCCAGGCACAAAAAAGCCCGCCTAGAGTTTGCCAGGGCCCATGCTGACAAAGATGAAGACTACTGGGACTCTATACTCTGGAGTGATGAGACCAAGATGAATGTTTTTGGAACTGATGGCTTCAAAACTGTATGGCGTCGCAAAGGTGAGGAATACAAAAAAAAATGCATGGCGCCTACAGTGAAACATGGTGGTGGCAGTGTCCTTATGTGGGGCTGCATGAGTGCTCCTGGTGTTGCGAGCTGCATTTCATTGATGGCATCATGATTTCACAGATGTATTGCTCTATACTGAAAGAGAAGATGCTACCATCACTCCGTGCCCTTGGTCGTCGTGCACTTTTCCAACATGACAATGATCCTAAACGCACATCTAAGGCCACTGTTTGCATTTCTGAAGAAGAACAGGGTGAAAGTGATTCAGTGGCCAAGTATGTCTCCTGATCTGAACCCAATCGAACACCTATGGGGAATTCTGAAGAGACCAGTTGAGCATCACTCTCCATCCAGTCTCTAAAAGAGGTCATTCTTGAAGAATGGAAAAAGATCGATGTTGCAAAATGTCGCCAACTTGTTCATTCCATGAGCTATCATTTCACACTGATTTTAGGAATAAATTATGGGTAGGTTTAGGGGTAGGGATTGGGTTTAGTCTATATTTTTGGACAGTAATGTTGATCCAGGATCAACAAAAGATGTTGATCAGAAAAGGTCAGATTTTCTTGCTTCCACTGAAACACAAGGCACATTCACAAATTATTAAAAGCCTAATCAAAATGCACAACAGTTGAAAATGAAAAATAATTTTCAGGATGGAAGAGATGGAAAGGATAAATGATTACCACTTGAGGGTTTGTAAAAAAAATACTCGCAGACCAGTATTGTTTTCATTTTCCAACCAATTCCATACAACTAATAATTTCATTCAGCAACTGTAGTTTTTTTTTTTTTAAAGTGATCTATGCTTTTGAAAATGTTTTAAACAGTCTACATTTAGTGAATGACAGTAAAAAAAAGAAAATCAAATGTAATCAAAGCATTTTGCATTTTATTATAGGAGTGCATTTGTCATATGTAAACAAGATTACACCAGATAAAAGATTATGATACATTCCATATTAAAGGGACAGTTCACACAAAAATAATTCCTTTAGAGTGAACTGTATCTGAAATTGGATATTAAGACACAGGGAGACAGACTAGTGCTACAGCGACAAGGTATATATATATAAGACTGAAACAAAAATGTATGATTATTTGGTCTAAATTGTATGCAACACCAGTCCTTTCAAAGCACGCGCTTGATGGATCATTATAGAGAGAACCAGACTAAAGAAAGAGTTGGGTGGAAATACATCTCATGCCCTGAAAATGGCTATATACTGAGAAATCTAGCAGCAAAATGCCAACAAAAAGCAATTAAGTTTTTACATGACATGTGATACTGCATGAAACAGTCAGATTGTCATCAGGTCATTTGGCTCAGACTACTACCAAACTATCACTATTTAACACCATTTCCTTACCTCTAAATGTATGACATCCTTGGCAGAACAAAATGACACAGCATTCTTTTAGAAACCGTACCCTTATCCAAGTATTTCATTGACATCTTCAGACAATTAAAAATACAGCAGCCTAGACACATTGAATCAGATGTTCCAGTTAGCTAAGCTGAGATACTTCATAGAAGTAAGCTCCCAACATCTTGGTGCCCTGAATATAGTTGGATCTGTCAAGGCAAAAAAAAAGGGGAAAATATTGAAAAATAAATAAATAAATGCAAAAGATTGCCATTAACATTTTTAAGCATCCCAAGACCATCCCATCTACGAGATATGAAGTTCTGCGCAAATAAAGTTGGCCCAGATGATTACCTGCTATCATACAGTTGCAGTTTCGCAGCCATACCTTAACAAGGTGTTTGTTGTAGCTATGTGTAAAAATTACCTGTTGAGTTTCTCATTCTGTGAGTGAGCTCCGTCGTCAGAGGAACCGACAGGCAGCAGCATGACATTCTGGCCGGTTGCTTCTTGGAAGGTCAGAGTGACCGGGATACTTCCTCCCTCCCGGGTGAGGTCAGGCTCCACACCAAACACTAACATCAGTGAAATTATGTTAGACCACAAATAAATTGCATTTAGAAGAAAGAAAATATCTACATTGTTGCTCTGACACAAGACAGACTCTTGTATCTACAGTTATACAATATATTGTGTCTTACCAGTCTTCATGGCCTTTCTGCCAGCCATGTAGTGAGGATGGTTAAAGTCAGACACCCAGGCCCTGGCTCCATGTCCCATGTACACTTTCAGTTTGTTGGGACTTTGCAGTTCCGCATATTTCTTCTCTACATGGGTAATTACCTATATGATAAGCCGTACATGTCAGCACAAGCACATCTGTAGCACAACAACCATGTCTGTAAGGTATACAGATGACAATGTGATTGGATAAAATTACTTCAAACCTGTTTCTCCACCACTTTTGGATCCATGTCAGGGACCAGGCGGATAGAGAACTTGCCATTGACCTTGCGGGGAATGACAGTTTTGGCTCCTGTCTCAGAGAACGCTCCCTCTATGCCATGCAGAGACAGGGATGGGTATCTCCAACGATGCATCAGAATTTGCTCCTGCACAGACAAACCGATATATTATTTGGTTTAATATACATATCGATGAACATAAAACATGAAGACAGGCAGCATGACTAAATGGGGCAATTTATTAAACATGCTTATATTTAAAGGGGTCATATGATGCGATTTCATTTTTTCCTTTCTCTTTGGAGTGTTACAAGCTCTTGGTGCATAAAGAACATTCACAATATATTGTAATAAATTAATACTAATAAATAAACAGCCTTATTTGAATCAGTGTTATTTTACTACCATTGACATACTATTATAGGTTTCGTTTGAATTTGATTTTATTGTTATATTTACTTCTCATTTTAATTTTAGTTGAAATTTTAGTAAATTTGTTGTGTGTGTTTGTCATTTAGATTTTTATTAATATATATAAAGTTTTAGTTTTTAGTTTATTTAGTTATTTTAGTACTTCAATTTAAGCCAAACTAAAAATGAGAAATGTTGCCTTGGCAAAGAGCTGAAATAAAATAAGTTTAAGTTTTTTATATTTTATTTCAGTTAATGTTTATTTTATTTCAAGTAAGATTTTTATTTTATTTTATTTGTTAACGCTGCTTTGAATCATAACAGAAACGACATCAGCTGACACTGAAAACGCTGAAAGACGGATGATTTACCTTTGTGTCATGCAGCAGTTTGCCTGCTCCAACATCTTTGGCATATTCTTCCATGTCAAACTCAATCTTTTCGTAGAGCTTCTTCTCTTCATCAGTCAATTTAGCCACCTGGTCATATAACCCTGGTACTAAAATTTTCCCCTTGTTATCCACCAAAGAGCCTAAAAATAAAAAAAATACTTTAAAAAAATACATTTTCAAAGCATAGCAAATATAATAATGGTACATCAACAAACAGGTTAATCAATTGTGAGGTGAGCTAATCAAATAAGAGTAAATATTTGATGACTGCTCTAAACAGACAGGTAACTTTAGCAGGTCAACAAAAGACAGATATCCCAGTGGAATCAAACACAACCAAGGTTGGTCATGCTGAACATTTGTATAACCAACCTACTGACACTCTTTCTACCAAAGGAATAAGCAGACATCAGTCTCACCCATCAGAGCGATGAGGTCAGTCATGGCCTCATGAACGGATCCTCCAAACACGCCAGAGTGAAGATCTTTATCACAGCATTCCACCTGAAAACATAAAAGACTTGTTCTTGTTAATCAGACATGAGAAAAATCTCAAAACTTTGCCTTTGCAAGGATCTAATGCTTTCTCTCATTAAAGAATGTTTAAGTAACATTACGAATTATATATTTTTTTTTTATATTTTGAATTCTTTAGTTTTTTTATAATTGCTTTATTCATGTAGTATATGTGCGCATGAAGTCAGAGCTTAACTTTAAATACCACTGCTACAAATCTTAAGTTTCTTTTGACGTTAAAGTAACAAAATAACTCCTACCTCAACAAAGAAGTAGCAGATTCCTCTCAGGCCGTAGGTAATGCAGGGTTTGGTCTTCCCAAGCCAGTAGTTATCAGAAATGCAGACATAGTCCACATCCTTAAAGAAAGTATCTTTGCGAGAGAAAACCAGCTCGTCCAATCCTTCTGATCCAGACTCCTCCATTCCCTCAAAGCAGAACTTTATATTGATAGGCAGTTCCTGTGATTAAGTAAATTTCGTTTTTAGTACAAAAGTCCATTAAATGAAAGACTTTAAAGACTATAATTTGTAAAAATGTGTACTTCTTTACAAACCAAACATTTTATACTGCTAAAACTTGTCATAGTCATAAAGGATAAGTAGGTCTACTCTTACTTTTAGTGTTTGTCATGTATCATAGAAACGCTGCATAATATTACAATTAGGCTTACAGTTAATTAAATTACATCTAGCCTAATTAAATTAGCTTGACACAAGACTTTTAAAAATTATCAAAGATCACAAAACAACCTTTAGACTAGTCTGCAAACGAGGAACTTTAAAAGCAGTGACATTTCACTCAGGTGATAATTATTGAGAAACTGAGGTAATCGCTGGATAAGAGGAGGACTTTAAACTGGTGTTACAGGCTTAATAAGTAAGCCGACAGTATCATTGGAAAGAAAATACAGTGTTTGCACCTGTCCAATCTTCTGATAGGCCTCAATGATGTTGAACCAGGCTAATACAGGGCCTTTATCATCGGTAGATCCACGTCCGTACATTTTACCTAAAGACAAGATGCGTGGCCTTGGTATTAATTTAACAAAAACTATAACTTATAAAGCCAGTTGTAATAGATAACTAGAGAATTACTACACAAAATTTTTTTAGAATTGGTGAAATTTTGTGTAAAAAAAAAAAAAAAAAAAAGAGATTAAGGAGGAAAATTTGACAG